GGACACCGAAGCAACCCGGAACCCATAATTGCCATAATTGTTTGTTTCGTCCACGGGTTTATGGTAAGGCAGACGAGGAGGAGCTGCAAGCAGGCGCTGCAGTGGACGAGGCCGAGGACGTAGACGAAGCAGCAGAGGCAGAGGAAGCAGCGGAAGGTGCGCCAGAGAAGCAGAGCAAGTCGGATTATTATGCTGCCTACAAGAGTAAGGGTCCGCACCAGATGCAGCTGGATATACTATCCGATGACCGTCTGCGCTGCAGTGCAGAGATCTTGTGCCGTGTTACCAGGCCATTGCACAAGCTCTACCAAAGTGATCTGCAAGCGCAGAAAGAGGGGCTGGAGAAAACTTTGCAATGGAATGCAGAGCGCTGTGTTGGAAGCAGTTTGGAAGCCTGCAACCAGATCCTGACAACCACTTCGAACCCAGCATTGTACATGGCCATGAAGATGACGCCCCACTGCAACCCGTGTGCCACGCCCGACATGCTGCCCGAGGAAATGGAGCTAGCGCAAAAAGCTTTCAGTTTTGCAACCAACTTGGCAGGCAACTTTGCATGGTCGGAAATGCTTCACCAATTTACGTTGCCGCTGGCTGCTGGCTCTCTGTTGCTGGCAGATCGAGAGAAAGCCCAACGAGCACTTCACAGGATTGGTGCTATCATTGATGCCGTGGTCAAAGCGGAAGACATGTTACGGACCAAGCCTGCATTGGGGCAGTTGTTGCAAGACCTGGCCTTTCAAGAAGAGAGCCTCGCGCGCGAGGTCATGATCCGGTTGCGAAGAGCGAAGTACAAGCTTGACGATCCTGAAGCCCAGACCGTGGTTCGACTCATGCGAAGCTTTTTCGGGGGCAGCAGCTCCACCAAGGAGATTTTGGAGAGCTGTTTCGGACATTTGGCAGATGTGGTTAGTCGGTCCAACAAGAACAAATGCACCAGCAGAATGGGGCTGTGGCTGTATTGCACCAGCTCGGGTTTCATCAAATCATCAGGAATGAAGCAGCGCTTGCCAGACCGTTCGGATTGGCTCAGATGGCTTGAAAAGTTCGGGAGCGCGAAAGACGAGTGGATGCAAAAATTCAACACAGCATTCAATGTTGCCGCGACCGCCCTTCCCCAAGCGCAGGACATGGAGTTTCCCAAGACAGCGGAGGGTGTAGTGAAGACAAAGTGGAGGCTGGCGGGGCCTCTATCTCACTACAGGAGCGCGGCTGCCGCTTGCTACCTCCTCAAAGAGTCTGATTCTGGGTTTCGGAATATCACCATGGCTTGGGCAAGCCCTGGCCTCAGCTTTTTGGCACTCGCGCTCCATCAATTCCGGCGAGGTTTGGGTTTGGTGTTTGTTTAGCGCTCAGTTTAAATAGAAACCAGTGCCCGCGCTTTTGTAGCAGCAGCCCAAACTCCGCAGCAGTGTTTATGAATCATGGACTCAGCGATGCAGGTGCATTGCTGTTCAAAGGGGCCATCTTCTGGGAGCGCTCCAAGGACATTTTCATGATCTCGCTCGGATTCGTTGGATGGTGCGCGCTTGGCATGAAGCTGCGGCGGCACAAAGTGGGCCAGCAGGACCCTGCAAACCATGACCCTCTTCCCTTTAATATGGTCCCAGAGTCCCATGGTGCAGAAAAGGCCGGCGTGGTGTGAGGTGATCTGATCTGTAAAGTATTCCCAATCTTGTGCTTTAGGTGCCAATCAAACACAGGCAACCAGGGGCTTTTGAGAAAGCCACGCCACTTGCCTCGTGCATGCATCAGGAGTTCTTGTCCGTTGACCCCAACCATCAGGGAGTGGAGATGCTGTTCAATTTTACAGTGTCCGCCGAAAGTTCTGCATGGATGTTTGTCGTGCATGAGGTTCTCCCACCAGCTTGTGTCCCGGACTCCTTGCATCAGTTGGGGTCCTGCATACATGTGAAGTCAAAGGAAGGGCTCCTGCGTGCAGCGGTTCTTCGCCAGCAGAGCATGAAGTTGACGAAAGATCAACTGGTCCAGATATGCACGTCCCTGCGAGTGCCTTTGCCAGACCCCAAAAAGGGGTCGGGCAAACGAGGAAACCGAATCAAGATCGACTTCGTACGAGCGCTTGTGCGCTATCTTCTTCCGGACAGTCCGGACGAAGTGGAGGAGCGTGTGGCCGCTCTCATGGGCAAGCAAGCAGCTCGCCTGGATATGGGCGTCTTGGCGATGATCAGCGAGATGGACGTTGACAATGCCGATTCCTTTAAAGAGCTGAAGAAGCAGGCTATGCAGCAGTTTGAGGAAGAGGTGTCCAAAACTGGTGAGAAGCGCGCGGTCAAGAGCATGAAGGATGCAGAGGCGCGTGCAGAAGCAGAACGGAAGGTAGCAGAGGCTGCCAAGAAGCGTGAGGAGAAGCAGGAACAGCAACAAGCTGCTGAACGAAAGAGGCAGTGGGAGTTGACGCCGCCCGATCTCAAGAAGCTCCTGCCGGGGGGCGGTGCCATTACTTCTACCTTCTGGATGCGATTCCAGCCCTTGCAGAAGTTTTGGAAGGTTGAATACCCCATCGGCTCTTTGACTGATTACGATTTCAAGTTTCAGAATCCTTCCAGTCCAAGAGTATATTGTGTGGGTTCAGGAAGTCTGCGTTCCGACGTCGGTAGGATTTGGATTTATTGGCGTTTTGCTTGTCCCCGCAATTTCCACACCCCCAATCCCGTGGCTGCGAGGTGACCCGATCGAGAAAGACAGTTGCCAGAGAAGCTGGGGTACGAAACGTTGTCCAGATCAGCTTTCGGCACTTCGCGAAGTGTTGAGCTTCACATACCGCAGATGGAATGCGCGCAACCCGCACAACAAATTCGAGATGCGGCTTGGCCAAGACATGACAAGTTCATGTCATGTGCATGTGCGCTCTCTCTCTCTCTCTCTCACTCTCTCTCTCTCTCTCTCTCTCTCTCTCTTTTCTCTCTTTTTCTCCCTCCCTCTCCCTTCTCGCTCTTTCTGTTTCTCTCTCTCTCTCTCTCTCTCTGTCGCTCTCTCTCTCTCTCTCTCTCTCTCTCTCTCTCTCTCGCTCTCTCGCTCTCTCTCTGTCTCTCGCGCTCTCTCTCTTTCGTGAAGCGCAACTTCCTTCAGCGACTGCAATTCGGTAAGACAAAATAAGACAACATAAGCCAAACTAAGACAAAATAGGGACAAACTATTGAGCTCTCTCGCTCTCTCTCTCTCTCTCTCTCTCTCTCTCTCTCGCTTTCTTCTGTCCGTCCGCCCGTCCTCTGTCTGTCTGTCTGTCTGTCTGTCTGTCTGTCTGTCTCTGTCCCAGGCCATCCGACGACATCTTAAAGACCTACATCGAGACCTTGCCTGCACCAAGCCGGCGCTGAGTGTGCTCAGAACCGATGACGTCTTAAAGACCTACATCAAAGCAAGACCTTGCGGCGCTGAGTGTGTTCAGAATCGGTGACGTCTTAAAGACCTACATCGAATCGAGACCTTGCCTGTGCCAAGACGGCGCTGAGTGTGCTCGGAACCGCTCGAGACGAAATGAGCGCTTTGACTTTGGGGTCAAGGACCATTAAACTGAATGCCCAGTGAAAGTGCGGCGACCTCCCATGGCCCTGAAAGCGGACGACCCACCAAATAAACCCTAAACGAGCTTATTTAGGTGTTATTTTGGGTTGCATAAGGCAGGCACACTGTCCAGGGGGGGGGGTAGTTAGGAGGGGGTTAGGCTAGGATTACATGATCAGATGCAGGATGAATCGTTCCAAGCCTTAGTCTCCTCCCATCGGTTGGTAGCTCTTAACACATGGTCTAGTGGTGCAGGTCACACTTTCTTCCTGAATGGTCAGGGATCACAAATTGACTTCCTGCTCACTTCAGAAGCCTCGGCCAAGGGCCTGGCAAAGCAGTCTCGGCCGTGCAAGGATCTTCAGCTCGGCAAATGGAAGAGGGGCGGCCACCTTCCAGTCTTGGCTCAACTCAGACCCACCCAGCACTGGAATCTGCCAAAGCCTACTTGTCCTTCCACGACCTTTCATAAGGAAGCTCTAGAGACGGCTGTCCGTTCAGGTCTGCCAATAGCCGGTCGCATGCAAGACTGGGTGGGCCAGCGTCTGTCCTCTCGGACTCACACGCCTGATGAAGTTAATTAGGTACTGCTGGAGGCCTCTGCACTGTTTTTCCCCAAACCACGGCCTCAGCAAGCTCCTGAAACTGCTCAGCACCGTGCGACGCTGCGAATGTGGAGTCGAGTCGCTCATATTCGTTCTTTGCATGAGGACTCCATAACCACCTTATCCGACCTAGATCAGTCTTTGGAGGACCTGAATCGATGGCATAAGCAGGCTCTCTACGTAGCCAAGAAGGAACGACACCGAGCTTTCCAGGCTGAGGTCGATGAGGCGTGTGCCAGACACGATTCCTACATCGCACATAAGACCTTAAAGAAGCTCCGACCTTGGGAACCCCAAACTAAGGCACAGCTTCAGGGACCGGATGGTCTGCTGTTGGACTCTACCTCTGAGCTCCGCCTGCTTAGAGACCACGTGGAACAGGTCTTTGCCAGACATCCGCCACTCGCACACCAGGTGGACTCGCTGCCGGAAATCCCGGCTGGTCTGCTGGCCAAGCACATAGGCTCCATCAGACCGCACAAGGCGGTACCGCAAGGCTCTGCTCCGGCGGCTGCCTGGCGGCTCTGCTCGGCGGCTGCGGGAGAGGCGCTAGCAGCATCGCTGCAATCTCGGGGGCAACGCCCATTGCCGGCTGCTGAGGTACTTCAGCCGCCCTTAAAGGATGCTGACTTGTGTTTTATCCCAAAGCCTAACAAGCCGGCCACGAAGCCTGGCAATCTACGTCCCCTCGGCATCATTCGACCAGACGGCAAGGGCCTGGCGGGGGCTTGTAGAGATCAGCTGTCTCCCTACACGGCTGACTATCTTCGGGGTCTCCCACAATTTGCCTACCAGCCACATCGCGGTCTTTCAGATGCCTTGAGCAGGGTCGTTGGTCATGTCACTCAGGTACGCAATAACTGCCAGGAGGCCCGACGAACCAGGCATCAGCTTCACTCGGGACGAACTCGTCCCCAGCTAGTAGGTGGCATCTGCTTTGCACTAGACTTGTCACAAGCCTTTGACATGGTGAGCAGAACAGACTTGCTTAGCACACTGCAGGAAGCGGGAGTCCCGCAAGACCTCATTGACCTAGTTGCCTCATTGCATGCTGGCAGTGCTTACACGTTTCGCACCCAGGGTGAAGAGGACACGGTCCAGTCCACTGCGGGCATTAAACAGGGGTGTAAGCTTGCCCCCACACTTTTTTCCATGCTTACGGGCACCATCTTCCGGGAGCTCATAGCTCTTGTTGGGGTTCGAGCCGTGGTGGACTACCTCACGGGCTACGCAGATGACCTTACGGTTCACCGTGACATCCACTCAATGGAGGACCTGGATCGCGCTCATGCTCTGATTGAGCAATTGTTGCAGTTGGTCCGTCGCCATGGATTTGCTGTCAACGGTGCAAAATGCACTGTTATGGTCAAACTCGAGGGCCAACAGGCGCAATGCGCCATCTCCAAGCACACTTATTGGCGCACCGCGCCTGACGGAACCCGCCATAAGATGTGGAGACTGGGAGAGTCCAAGTCTCACGAGGGCTTTCCGCTGGTGACGACCTTTAAGTATCTCGGCGTCATGCTCTCCTACTCCAACTTCGAGAAGGCTACTCTCAAGTTCCGGTTGCAGGAGGGCAATGTGAAATTGCAGCAGGTACGCCGCTTCGTTCACAACAGACGAACGGCGGGGCCTGCATCGCGGTTGCACATTTGGCATAGCACTGTCTGGGCCACAGTAGCCTCTGGATTGGTGGATGTGGGCTTGACCCTAGAGACAGCTAAACTGTTGCGGGCTTGGCACGCTCGCAAAATTCGAGCTGTCCTGAACAAGCCAGCGCACCTGACACACATATCCACGGCTGACCTCTACGCCTCCCATGAGATCATGGACCCTGTCCGTAAGCTGCAGGCGCGACAGGCCAATCGTGTCAAGCGCTTAGGTGCTCGACGGCGGAAAACTCCTGCGGGGGACATCTCTTTAACCCAGCGCGCGCTTCTCCAGGCGGAGGCACTCTCTACTAGTTATGCAGACGTTCTGCAGCAACTTTCTAAGGACACATCACAGCAGGAGGCCCCCCCGTCCTTCGTGTGCCCAACGTGTGCTCAGGCCTTCGACACTGAGGTCGGTCTTCGCACCCACCAGGCCCGCAAGCATCCAGGCTCGGTCATCAGATATGTCCCTCGAGGCTTCTCCCACACCCTCTCTGTAGGAGGGCTCCCCAAGTGTGCGGCCTGCAACAGGCAATTCCCTCAGATGAAGGGCTTAAAGGACCACTTGCTATCAGGTGCCTGCTCGGAGCCAGCTAGGCTACAGGAGCTGGATGACGCGGCGCACCCTCCCTTGGATTCGCAGCATCAGCCCAGATTGCATCCCAGGCAGCAGCGCTTGCATGACACTCTGACAACACACACGGCTGTGGAGCTCGGACGATCTGATGAGTCTCAGGACCTTATGTCACATTGCTTGCTGTGTGGGTTCTGGACCCCGGACAATACCAAGCTCAAGTCTCACATCCGGCAGGCCCACAAACCTGAATGGGCGGCTCATGGCGCTACAGCTGCAACTCAGAGCAGCAAATCAGGCCTGACCCTTGTCAAGGGCATGCCTTGCCCGTGCTGCCGCAAGCCTGTTACGGATAAGAGGCAGCATCCGGCACAATGTCCGATCCTTTTTCAGATTCTGTTTTATGACTTGGTTCATGCACTTTCCCGCTGCCAGGGCGGACCGTTACGCAGGTACATGCCAGCGGTTGGCACGACACAAGGCAACGCACCCACACGGGACGATACCACCGCTGTTGGAGCAACGCCCCAGACTCGCCAGGCAACGCCTGCAGGCCCCCTGCCACCGAAGTCAGGGACAGTAGAATCAAAGGACGGCGCGCTCGCTGCTCCTCGCTCGCTGCGCAACATCTCCAACTACTGCTATGTTAACTCAACGCTTTCGGCCCTGGTGCCGACGTGCATCTTGCTGGAGCACGGAGGGGCAAGCACCTCCCTCCATCAGGAAGTGGCTGATTCTGTCTCTGGTTCTCCTTTCACCCTGACTGCCTCTTTCACGCTTCGCCATCTTACTCCCGCTTGGCGCTATGATGGCCAACAACAAGATGCTTCGGAGTTTCTAGTGGCCTTATTTGCAGGCATTACCGCCTTTCCGATTGCACGACCCTGGGAAGTCAGGGATGTAAACACTACTGAGGTCACCGATGCGGGAGGTCCGCTCGCTTTGCTGCCAGCTCCAACGACAGGTGGATCCCATGCACTTCAGGAGCTGCTCTCTCGGTGGTCTGGCCAGCCGGTGCACACCGCCTTTCGAGGGCAGCAACGACTGGTGGTTCTCACAGTGGCGCGATTTGTTGAAGGCCGCAAGCTCAGCTATGCTGTCACTGGTCTGCACCACCCCCTTCAGCTCTCGCAGTGGGCCCCGACGGGCTCCGTACAACTAGAGAAAGGATGGGTTCAGTCCTGTATCTTCCACATAGGTGACACCCCGCACAGTGGACATTATCGCTCCCTCTGGAGGAGCAACCCCGATCAACCTTGGCTCAGCACGGACGATGGTCGTCCGTCGGTTCAGGCCTCAGATTCAGATCTCAGGCAGGCACGCCACGGCTGCTATGTGCTGTTCGTGCGACTTGGTTCAATACCGCACACAGCGGAGGCTGGCCCTATGCCAGTCCAAGTTTCAGATGATTAAGCTGAGGGTTCCCCTGAGGCCAGGGGCCCCTACTTCCCCTTGCAGGAAGGGGGCGACCTACTGGCTCTGTGGGACCGACCTGCCTACACGGCAGGGAGCAGGAACGCTGTTGTTCAGTTTTGCTGCTCAAGTCGTACAGCTGACGTAGCTCCACTACTCAGCGTTTGTGTGCAATAGCGGCCTATACCTGTCATGCTAGTCGGGCAACGCTCGCTGCTTTCCCAGAAAGGCAACGCCTGTCAGCAACACAGCTGACCAATGGCTGAAATCGGCTTTACAAACCCCCATTCTCGGCTCGAGAAGGGGGGTTTGTCCGAGGCCTAAAAATCAAGGTTTTGCAACCCCCCATTCTCGGCTCGAGAATGGGGGGTTGTCCGAGGCCCCCAAGCCATTGCCGGCAAGCCTGGCCTCTGGAGGGGAGTACGCCTCTTACGAATAAGGTTAGCCTTATTAGGCACAGTGTGCTTACCGCCAGGGTGTGCCACATCGTTCACCGATGCAATCTGCTTGCCCACAAAAGCGGAGCGGCCTCAGATAACAGCACTAGCAGCCGTTCCACATGCTCATCACCTTTGCGACCTTACGGCCCATCGCCTTTGATTGAGAGTGACCATGAGTGGGACGCCACGCAACAGGCACTCTGAGTGACGGTCCCGAGGGGGTACGGCTCATCAATCATCGGTCCGTGGACATGGGACGCCATAGTCCACACTGAGGGTGACGGAGGGTTTCTCACCCACGCCTGAGACGCTTGAACCGGCTTTTGAGTTAGCTTGTAGGGTAGCTCTCTTCACGGTAGCCTGTTTCAGCGCTTTCAGGCCCAGGCCCTTAGCATTTCTGCTCTCAGACCTTTGTTCAGGTGCAAAGGCAGTCTCACACGCCCGCAATGAGCAGAGCCCGCTCGCTCAGCGTCCAATAAAAATTGTTGTTGTTGTTGTTGGTGGTGGTGTTGGTGTTGGTGTTGGTGTTGGTGTTGGTGTCGGTGTTGGTGTTGGTGTTGTTGTTGTTGTTGTGGTGGTGGTGGTGGTGGTGGTGGTGGTTGTTGTTCATTTTGTTGTTACAAGGATCTAAGTAGTTCTTTGGTGCACAAAGTCGGCCCATCTCCTACTACGATTCGGGGGTCATCATTCGTGCGACGAGTAGAAAGCTATGATAACCACGACGATAGTTTCCATATGATATTTAATCATCGCCATGATTGCAGCCGGTTTGATTCTATGATAGCTACCGGGCTGCTATGTACCGTTGGTGCACGGGTTCTTGATTTCTTGATGCAACTTGGAAGAAGGTCGGGCAGCACTTAGAATAGTTGTGAATGTCGCTTCATGTCAAACATGAACAAGCAGGACAGACAAGGGCTTCTGAGAAGGCACTCCACCTCGCACTCGGTCTGCAGACAGCCCAACGACTGTTCAGTTGCGCAAGTGGATTTGTGTTTTGCTGCCTGCAGGCACAGTGGAAGAGGCAACGAGTTGGGTGCTCGCTCTCTCCCCACTCCGCGCTGCGCTCTCTCTCCCTCGCCGCCAGTCTGTGCCCTCGCCCTCACGCTCGCGCTCCTCGCTCTCGCTGTCTCTCTCTCTCTGTCTCTCTCTCTGTCTCTCTCTCTCTCTCTCTCTCGCTCTCTCCCCATTCTCTCTTTCTGTATTACCTCGTTATATATACCATATAATACACACACACACACGTGTATATATATATATATATATCTGTAAAGCTGTATAACTCATTAACGAAACAACGAACTACTTGATTAACTCCTTCACAAGCTTAATTGGCCACCTAGTTAACTGACTGGCTGACTGACTGACTGATTTACTAACTATATCTATCTCTTTCTCTACCTCTCTCTATCTATCTATCTATCTAGCTCTCTCTCTCTCTCTGTCTGTCTCTTTGTGTCTGTCACATTGACTTCGACTCGACCTTTCATGTTCCCATCGACGTTCAATCATTCGGCACTGAGAATGCAAGATGAACGTGTTTGTTCTGGCATTTCGTTTGCGCACGACGGATGTCAGTATCATGGTTTTGCGGCGCTTCTCTGCTGGAGAACAGAATCCTCGTGCATTTGAGTTGGAAGGCGACTGCGACAGAATCGCCGGAGCGGATCGAATCTTCCACGGTCGGGGCACCTTTCAGCTACTCGTGGCTTCGGGCTACACCCCATGCCGTTAGACCTGTCACTAGGCATGTTCGATAGTGTGGGACCGGTGGAATGCACACATTGAACGGGAGCCCCACAAAATGTAGCCAGGACATTGGATGCTTGAGGGCCACGGCTGTCATGCAAGTTTCGTCACAGTTGTTCTTTGGTCTCAAGTATCATTAAGAATTAAGATGTATGTAAGACTTCAGGTTCTTGGAGATACCGCCATCATCAGGCCGTTCAGGCCAACCAAGAAGCCGGAGTTAGTGAGCCCAGAAGCAACTCCACACAGATCAAAGCGAATCTGGATCTGGATCCGAGCGAACCTGATGCCTGTGACTTGCCAACTTTGCCCCGACACTTCCATGTTCGGCACAAGTTGCCGGTTCATGCACGAAGTGGCTCGCACGTGCCCTCAATGTTTGAAGTCCATAGCCCTTGACCCTTCACGGCCCTTCACGGCCCTTCACGGCCGCAGTTCTATCTCAGCCGACTGTCCTTGACCTTACTCTTTTCTGATCCGTTGATTCTGTCGCTGTGCATGAGGCGTACCTGGTGCTCTACAGACGCTGTGACCACCTTCCAGGCCTTGGCCACTCGAAAGTTTTGACACTGGCCGAAAATAAAGGTTGTTAGGGCCCGAAAGTCCAGACTATCCGGCTACGCAGCAAACCAAACTCCCCGTGCTTAGTTGCTGCTCCCGGCAAATTTACGGTTTCTGTCGCAAGACTTCAGGTGGAATCTCGTGTCACCATGCATTTTAAAGCGCTCTTCACGTCTTGCGTCTCGCGTCATGTTCCCAATCACATCCTGACTCCACCTGCCTGCAACAGAACCGTCTGGTCCTCGAACTGTACTGCGCAGCACAAAAGCCTAGAAGTGAAATCTCTCTGTCCCAAGGCTCGAAACGCATCCCTCATAAAGCCCAAGACCTGCAGCCTACCATCTGTTCACGATGATTTAATTTGCTCGGCTTCCATTCTTAGTAGACTATACTTCAAGTTAGAACGTCATATTCAACTGTCTGCACTGGTCAAACTCAAATCCTTCCGTTCAGGTCAACTGAGCCTGGGGCGCCGGAGTAGCGCAGAGAGGCCCAAGGCCGCGCTCTCGCAGGCTCCGGGTGCAACAGTCCGAAGTATCAGAGGCCTTGTCCTGCTACCAGTAAGACCACTGCTGCTGCCACCACCAGCACTGCTACCACTGCTACCACCACCACCACCACCACCAGCACTGCCAATGCCACTGCCATTCCCGCTCCCAGAACGCCTCCAACATGTTTGGAGCCCTGCAGAAACCCAGATTGTGTTATGCGATCTGAATAGCATGACGTGCAAAGAAGCGAGATGGGACTGAACCACTTGTCACGAAAGCTAGCTCTTTGGAGCTTGCGGGAGTTGTCGTTCACAAATTTCTTCCCAGGTAGTTCCATGGGTGCAACTTTCAAATGATTTCGGTGTTGGGGGGGGGGGGGGGGTAGGGCGGGCCACCCCCTCCCCCCCGCCCTTGAAGGCCGTGCTTGCAAGCATAGTTGTCTGCAGAGTTTAATGTTGTTGTTACTTGGGGAGGCGTGTAGACTTGAAGGCCATGCTTGCAAGCATAGCCGTTTGTAGAGTTTCGATTTGTTGATACTCATAGCCGTTTGTAGAGTTCAGAGTTGTTACTGCTTCTCACAAACCTCCGCCGTCCTGCTTCTAGCTTTCGCAGCCCTGCTCTCAAGTTGACGATTGACAGGCCAGGTGTACCAGGAGTATTGTGCCCGTCTGAAAACGTCAACTGTAGGGCTGGAAGACAACTTGGAGCTTTGCCCGGTTCTAACCGACCCCCAAGCTTGCTTGATCTCTTTGCTCAAGGATCTCTCTGCTTTCAGGGCTTTTACGGTGCACTCTTCCGTTCCCGACATTGTGATTGCGCAATGGCAAGTTTGGACGTCCGAACCGCGCCCACCACCTTTCCTGTCTTGCTAGGTGGTCGGGACCGCAGCAAAGTTGAGCTCGCAGAGCAGGAGGCTGTGACTGCAGACATCAAGAGCCCGCTGAACAGGGACCTTACTAAGGCCGCTGGAGTCCGTGCTTCGACGACGCAGCGTGATGAGACGCCGGTGCCAGAAGAGCCGTCTCGGCAGGCAGCGTCGCCGCCGCAGCAGGTCTTAGATGTGCTTCTCTCCAAAGAGGAGGCACTGAGCTTGCAGTCTGAGCTGATGGAAGCCTTCAGCGCCCCTGCATTTCAAAAGCAGCTCCACGAGCTTGGACGTTTGCATGGTGTTGGGACAGACGGATGCCGAGCATTAGTCCTGAAATTGGTCCGAAGTAAACAAGTCGAGATCATCTCACGTTTCGGCCTGCAAAGCTCTCAGGCGGGTATTGAGGGTATGCTGTCTGCCTTCAAGTCCCTCGAGACGGACCCAGACATCCAGGTCAACAACATGGCCATGAAGGAGCTGCTCTGCCTGAGCGAGATGCCGTTCCCGACGCCGGTGCCAGAGGCAAGGACCCCAAGGGACCCCAAGTGCTCAAGTTCTCAACACCGAACCTGAACCGAAGCCACAGCTCACTGAAGCTCGCAAGCCGTGAGCCTAAAGCTTCCCGAGAGTTTTGCCCTGCCAGAGGTGCGAATGGTCGTGCAGCGTCCGTCTACGAAGCATCGCGTCATGGACGTTCTTCGAGTCCAACTCATTGAGTTCAGCAAGGCGACCTTCCAACTTGAGGCAACTGGCCGTGAATGCCTTGAAGGGTTCCGGTACTTACCCGCCCGTTGTTACGCCTTTCCGCAGTTGCTGCAACCTGCAAGCACTTCAGAGTTCGCGAGGTCGAGGAGCTAAAGCGCCAGGCGAAGGTGTCGGATGCAGCGGGTGGCTTCTACCACCTACCTGGCCGCGCTGACCTGGCCCTGATAGTGCAGCAGGCCGATGTTGGGTCTTGGGCTGAGCCTAAAGCCAGACAAGAGCTTGCAAGGGCGTTGGGTTCAGAGCCTGGGCTTTGGAGTTCCTGGACGGGTTTGGCTCCTGCGCAGGTCCTGCTTCCCCAGTATGGCTTCGCTGGCTCCAAGGAAGGAGTGCAAGACATGATCCAGCATTGCGCCCCGTTCGTCAAGGACCGGATGGAAAGAGCCAGAGCGAGAGAGAGCGAGAGAGCACTGGCGAAAGAAAGAAAGAGAGAGCGCCCGACAGAATGAGCGAGAGCACGCAAGCAAAAAGTCTTAACGTATAAAGCTTGTGAGATGCCAGGATCCAGACGTGGCAAGCCTGCTCGACAGGGTGAATGACCGACTTGGCATGTCCACTGCGGCATGCGATCGCTTCAGGGATCTTCTGGCCCACTTGGCCTGAGGTGCTCGAGCACGAACGCCAGTCCTGCACGAAGCCGTGCTTGAGCACATTGGCCACGTGCTTTGCATCGTTACGACGGCAGAACATCAAGATTCTGCCTCTTCGCTGTTTCATTCGCTGCTCCCGCAAGGCTTGGTGTCTCCAGGCGAAGCGTATGCATTTCCCCTTGTGGCAGTTTTGTGAAAGCACTTGCACACCCCAATATGCACCACACTCTCAGAAACGCCTCAAATGGCCAACGTAAGCGGCTCTAGCCCGGAATGCGGCCATGCCCAGCGAGGGTGCAGCGCTCGGATAAGAGCTTCAAGCGGGCTTCGTTGGGCTTCAGGTTGGAGTTCTCCCCATTTTGGTTTAGGCCTGATCTTTGGAGGGTTTAGGTCACCGATGTCACCAGAAGTCCACACGTCACCTGGAGGTTTGAGCAGAGGGTATTGTAAGCATTTTACTTCGCGTCATACCTGCCGTCCAGGTGGCTTGCCGTTAGAATTTGTTGAGTCTTTTAGGCACAAGAGTTGCCAACAACAGTAGGCATCACGTCTCTGCTTGATGGCCCATGTACAGATTCTCATGTAAGGCGCTTTGGCTCTGCTGGGAAGGGCCCACTTTAAGCAACACGTACATCAAGACAGGTCGCTCTGATCACCACACGATTCGTTGTGTTTGTGAGGCTGCACGCATCTGCACGCCAAAACGCAAGAGAGAGGGTTCACCGGGTTCACCGTTCACCGTCAACTTCAAGTACACTGTCGAGGTATCCAGCTCCCGAGGATGCGTCCGCCGCTCTCGGTCGATGGATCGCATGCTAGACCTTCGGGTGTCGGGATCGAGTTTCGGTGGACAATATCGCAACCCCTCCCCAAACGAGCACCCAACGGCAAAAACTTAAGGATATGTCCAGGCGACCGTCAACGTAACGAGGTGCGGATACCGCTGCCACCACGACGACCTCCACAACTACCCCTACCCCCTACCCTAGACCCCCACAACTACCACTGCCACCGCTACCGCTACCACGACGACGATGACTACTGCTACTGCTACTCCTACTCCTACTACTACTACTACTACTACTACTACTACTACCACTTCCACTTCCACTATACCACTATACCACTATACCACTATACCACTATACCTATACCACTACCACTACCACTACCACTACCACTACCACTACCACTACCACTACCACTACGACTGCTACTACGACTGCTACTACTACTACTACTACTACTACTACTACTGCTACTACTACTACTACTACTACTACTACTACTACTACTACTACTACTACTACTGCTACTGCTACTGCTACCTACTACCTACTACCTACTACCTACTACCTACTACCTACTACCTACTACCTACTACCTACCACCTACTACCTACCACTACCACTGCCACTGCCACTGCCACTGCCACTACCACTAGCACTACCACTACCACTACCACTACTACTACTACTACTACTACTACTACTACAACTACTACGACTACGACAGCTCCTGCGGCCTACAGCTTGTTTGATTTCTTTGCTCAAGGCTCTTCCTCTCTCAGTGTTCAGGTCCGCTCTTCTTTGCTGGAAAGCGTGCGATGGCAAATGTCGACCGACGAATAGCACCCACCACCTATCCGGTCTTGCTTGGTCGGGACCGCAGCACAAAATCTGAATTTGCAGGGGAGGTGCAGGCCGCTGGAGTCCGTGCTTCGACGACGCAGCGTGATGAGACGCCGGTGCCAGAAGAGCCGTCTCGGCAGGCAGCGTCGCCGCCGCAGCAGGTCTTAGATGTGCTTCTCTCCAAAGAGGAGGCACTGAGCTTGCAGTCTGAGCTGATGGAAGCCTTCAGCGCCCCTGCATTTCAAAAGCAGCTCCACGAGCTTGGACGTTTGCATGGTGTTGGGACAGACGGATGCCGAGCATTAGTCCTGAAATTGGTCCGAAGTAAACAAGTCGAGATCATCTCACGTTTCGGCCTGCAAAGCTCTCAGGCGGGTATTGAGGGTATGCTGTCTGCCTTCAAGTCCCTCGAGACGGACCCAGACATCCAGGTCAACAACATGGCCATGAAGGAGCTGCTCTGCCTGAGCGAGATGCCGTTCCCGACGCCGGTGCCAGAGGCAAGGACCCCAAGGGACCCCAAGTGCTCAAGTTCTCAACACCGAACCTGAACCGAAGCCACAGCTCACTGAAGCTCGCAAGCCGTGAGCCTAAAGCTTCCCGAGAGTTTTGCCCTGCCAGAGGTGCGAATGGTCGTGCAGCGTCCGTCTACGAAGCATCGCGTCATGGACGTTCTTCGAGTCCAACTCATTGAGTTCAGCAAGGCGACCTTCCAACTTGAGGCAACTGGCCGTGAATGCCTTGAAGGGTTCCGGTACTTACCCGCCCGTTGTTACGCCTTTCCGCAGTTGCTGCAACCTGCAAGCACTTCAGAGTTCGCGAGGTCGAGGAGCTAAAGCGCCAGGCGAAGGTGTCGGATGCAGCGGGTGGCTTCTACCACCTACCTGGCCGCGCTGACCTGGCCCTGATAGTGCAGCAGGCCGATGTTGGGTCTTGGGCTGAGCCTAAAGCCAGACAAGAGCTTGCAAGGGCGTTGGGTTCAGAGCCTGGGCTTTGGAGTTCCTGGACGGGTTTGGCTCCTGCGCAGGTCCTGCTTCCCCAGTATGGCTTCGCTGGCTCCAAGGAAGGAGTGCAAGACATGATCCAGCATTGCGCCCGAAAGAGCCAGAGCGCGAGAGGTCTGTGAGGGGTTAAGCCCCTTCACCATAGCCCTGACACAAGTTGTCGTGTATGCTTTACGGCCATAGCTAAAAAGTCTAAAAGCCCTTCATGACGAATTACGCTCGCCTTTCTCATCCCTTCACCAGTTCCTTTTCGGGTGGGCTTGAAGCCCGGGAAACTTGACCGTCCCCTATGCCCGAGAAAGAGAGTGCAAGCAAGAGAGAGAGAGAGAGAGACTGATTCCAGCATGGTCATGTGATTGTGGCCACCAGCATCGTCATCCTTCGTTTGCATGTTGAGTTGGAACAGTTGATGTTTATCGACGTTGTGCTATTGCCGTTCTCAGACCATGCGTAGTTTACCTCATTTGGAAAAGCTCACCTGGCTGCGGGAGTGGGGAGCGTCGACGGCTGCACCCCTGCCTTCTACCCTCCTGAAAGAAAGAAAGGCTGATAGCCAATTTCCCTGACACGTCCCCGCGTGCAGGTCGCACCTCCACCTCTTAGCCTTGCAAACAAAAAGAATAAGAAAGGGAGTTCGAGAGAGAGAGAGAGTGAGAAGGCCTTCGAACACCGCCACTCGGTGATGCATTGCTAGTAGAGTTGCGCAGGCATCGCTCGGACACCAGGCTCAAAGAGAGGGGCTCAGAACCAGCATGAGGGGGGCTGTTACTTTAGACGACAGTCAGGTTGGGGCCAATGGTTGCAGCGGGCATTGCGGGCAGGCCGATAGCTTCCTCAGGAGCCCTGCCGTTTCAGTCAATCCCAATTTCTGCAGCGCGTGAAGCCGTGCTGGGGCGATGCACTTTAATAGAAAAAACTGAGAAAGCGAGGAGCGAGAGAGAGAGAGAGAGCCAGAGAGGGAGACAGACATAGAGCAACTCCGGCTGTGCTCAGTTTCACGCCAACAGACGCATGTGACGGAGCAAAAAGCCTCTCGCGGATGCGGAAGGGGGGACCTGAATAGTCCTTCATTTAGCACAGACACAGGCATGTTCGGCAAGGCGGGGTTTCGTGGGAGTATGAACACGGCGTAACGGGGGAACAAAGCCAGTCGTCGAGTTAAGGGGACCTACCGAACACCCTGCAACATGTTTCACACAAGACTCGAACAACGGCGTAGCGCTCGCGCGCAGGGGCTGTGTGGGGGCTATAACCCCATGACCCCGAACGCCTCGCAAGCAAGCAAGAGAGCGAGCGAGATAGCACAGAGGCAAGCATGATCGGCAAGGCGGGGAACCCTTTTCTGCATGTTCCTTACCGCAATCTTTCTGAATAAATCGGGAGCCTGCCGACATGCTTGCAAAAAGTGTTCACACCAGACTTGGACATTGGCGTAGCGCTGGCGCGCAGGGGGGGTGGGGCTTGCTCCACATCCTCCAAACGCCGGGCAAGCAAGCAAGCAAGCCAGAGAGAGAGAGAGAGAGAGTGAGGGTGTGGGTGTGCGTGTGCGTGTGACAGTGAGAGTACTGTTTCCCCACACGCTGTGCAAGCAAGCAAGAGGCTGTCGCCCCTCATACAGCCTGCGCCGCATCTGCGAACGACCAACACAGCACCACTGCTCACCGCTGCACCCCCCCCGACAGACACCCCGCCAAGGCCGCCTACACCTGGATAGAGGGGGGTCGGGTCGGCCGAAAGCCTGAGATGGAGAGAGCGAGCCGAAGAGGAAGAGCGCGGGGAAGAACTAGAGTGTTAAGGAAAGCGAGCTACCGAAAGCACTCAGCCGGGGATCCCGAACTCCCAGAATGGTCAATGCCTGCTGCAACCAGCAGAATCTTCAACGACGAACTGGCTCAAAGTAGTGTTGAAACCTGAAGTACAGAGACTGTGAGATGCCAGGATCCAGACGTCGCAAGCCTACTGGACAGGGTGAATGACCGACTTGGCATGTCCGCTGCGGCATGCGATCGCTTCAGGGATCTTCTCGGCTACCCGGCTGAGTGATTTTAAGTCGCACGATGCGCAATCAAATCTTCCGGTCTGCCAACAGCCGGTGCTTCGCTGTAGCAGTGGAGCGCGCTGGCTTAAGGCTTGAGGCCAACCTCATGTCTCGTTCGAATTTACAGCTTTGCATCGTTACGATACGAGGGCAAAGCATGAACAGAATAGGTCTGAATCTACCTGTTGTTTCAAGTTCCAATCGCTGCTCTCGCATCACATGGGCTGGTCGTCTCCTGGGTAGCCCTATATATTGTGTTCCTCCTATGCCGCATAGGCACCCCCAAACTTAAACTAGGATTTTTCGGCGCATGAAGCTTTGTGAAAGCACTTGCACACCC